AGAAAACTTTACGAGTCAATCTGGGTCACAGCTGTCTGCCTTAATTTCACTAGACAGGAACCATCTGCAGTTCTCTTTCATTATCTTCTTTAAAGCAGCAGACTAGAGCAAAGGGCTCCGAGGTCATAAAGTGAGGGTTCGCTGCTTTTAGCTTTAACAACTCCGCTTTAGCTTCTTCAGCAAATTTCAGCGAGCGGCACAAACCACTGAACAGATTTTTAATAACGAAATGACGACACGTGTCATGCTCTTCATCAAATGGCGAGGGTAAAACTTTATATTCCACTTGAGCACGATAAAAACAATGAATTGGAATACGCGGGTGAAGAAAAACCAACCAGAATGGCAGGAAATTTGTGCGACTGTCCACTGATCGTTTGAGCCAGGCAAGACTGAAGTCAGGCCCAACAAACCTCCACCTGCAGACACACACAATTCACAGAAACATGGCATCATTCATCCAAAATCTAATCTGCTGGGATATAAATTGTTTTTCTTAGAAAAACACACTGATCTGAGCGATTACCAAAATGTTTACTGAATAAACCAAACAAAGGGGGCTAAAAGCATAAAGTGAATGCATCTAATTATCCAAGGTTAAAGTTATTGTTCAAACATATTTTCGGTGCCATACCAGCCTGATCGGTATTGAAAGCCACCAGCTTGGAGCTTGCTTTGATGTGGCTCCCCTGACAGGAAAAGGAGCCAGCGTGAACATTGTTGATCCACCCCTGGATTTAAAGACAAGAAGAAATTGAGCAAAAGATCACAGTGTAAGGAATACTTCCAACATAACTTCTCATATTTAACCTAATTAATATCGATTAATATTAATATAGTTAATATACGAGGAAACGGGTTCTTTTCGATTTTAAATACTAATAATAATAACCATCACCTTTATTATGACCAAGACTTTGACAATGAGTATCGTAGTCAATAAAGTTTATCTAAAAATAAATGATATTTATTTTACAAAACAATTATTTACATACCAACTCATTGGAAGAAGGACAAGGGCTTTACATAAGTTTAAATCAACCATTAACTCTTAAAAAGGGTTAAATCTCGTTAATTTGACAACTTATATGACACAACAAGGTTCTTTGATGTTAAATAAACCTGGTTGAGGCAAATTCTTAGTAAGAGTGAAGTAAAAGTTAAGTTTAGTTAGGAAAAGTGGTTATTATGGGGAGTGAACTAGATTTTATCTTATCAACACTGTAAAAAGCCAGAAGGATGGAGCGATGACACAGCCAGGACTTCGACACTTTGTAACCAACGTTTAGCTTTACCTTTTCAGACGTCAGTCAGGTAAGCTTTGAAGGTGTCCAGGTTTCAGACCTCTGGGACCCGCTTAGGACCGTTCAGGACTACTTTGGACTCGACTTCAGGAAGTTGATTATCTTTGGGCCGGTCCGGTTCATTGTCAATCTGCCACTCCGTCGTTTGGCTTCTTCAGATTAAAAACAAAAGCGTCTCTCTGTAGTCTCAACTTCAAAGAGAGGTGCTGGGAGAGCCCACGACTGGCGTCGTCGTTAGGCTAGTGAGAAGATTTAGCTCTTTAGCTCATGAGCTAAAATCCTCACCACAAATGTTCTGCTCTCTGCTGGAGAGACCAGACAGTTCCCCGAGTCTGACCCGCGCCAGACTCTGCTCGAACTGCTGTCGACCGAGACAAGAGAGGACTGACGGACTTTTGCCCGTGTTAGTATAGAAAAGATAAGAGGGGGAGGTAGAGAGAGAGTCGTCTCTCGGTCGACCTTGTGTTAACAGGTGTGAATCAGAAAGTTATAGGAGAATAGAAAGTTCCCATGGGAACGTTTGCCTCCTAGACTAAACAACTGTTTTACATGCTCAAAGCTGTTGCTGTGAACTCTCAGCTTTGGTGAAACTTCTCACACCAACCTCTGTTAGGCATAAGTAGAAAATAATACACTTTTATAGTTGAATTGAAAAGAAAAACATAATCACCTTATATTCAAATAATGGTTGATTAACACACAAAATAAACATTAAAATGATATCTTTTGTGACTTTCTTTCTTTCTCTGATTATAGTGAGAAGAACATAAGTTGTCATTCAGTTAAGCATATAACTTTAACTTTAAAATGATAACTTTAATTAAGAAATAACTTTTGCTTAAGTAAAATATGTAAAGTCAAAACATATAAAGAACATTACTATTTTGTTTATTATCTTGATTATAGAGAATAAAATGAAATAAAATGTCCCTTAATTGTTTAAGAAAACATGTTATGACCATAAAAAATGAACAGAGTTCTGTTCTTTAAAGGAGGCCTTCCGTGGTCAAGTTCAAAGGCAGGTGGAACGTTTATTCCACCCAGGGTGACCACTACAACAGAGAACAACAACAAAAACTGAATAATAAATATGGGTTCAGAATGTTAATGAGCACACTGGACAAAGTTGTTTTTAACAGTAATGGCAACAGTAATAAACAGGAAGGATCTGTTTGAGTGCACAAACACCGTGCTTGAAGAGCTGAGGAAGTGGAAGTGATCCTACCGCTGTGCAGCAGAGAACTCTTCAACTTCTTGCGCAACATGAAAACGGAAAGAGCGGCACGAGCATTTGTGCAACGCGCTCCAACAACCACTGCTCAGCTGCTCCTTCACAAACTAAAAACAACAGAACTTTGTGCTTTCAGGGGCCATTTCACAAGTCAAACAGACTAATGGGGTTGTGCTTTGTTTTATGCAACCTTGCATTTCTAAGCAGTCCCTATAGGGCTTGCATTTTTAAACACGGCTGCGAGGCCGGTTAACGTTAGCAAAACACAGCACAAAGTCTTTACATTAGCTGTAAAGCATGGTGGGGGAGAAATAATGGAGTGGGCCTGATCGCAGAGCTTTACAATCCCTGATTCAATCATGAAGGACTATTTTGGACATAAAACAACTGCAAACACTGAAGCAGCGTCAAAGTGGGTCATTTAACAAGACAATAATGCCAAGCAAATGAGCAAATCTACTATTACTTTAAATTTTTACAGATTAATGATTGTATTACCTATTGTATTATGCTAAATCATTAAAACATGCTTAGTGATTAAACACTGAGTTCACATTTGATGATTTTTTTTGTTACATAAAAATTACAAAGTAATACGGTTGTATTTGCCTTCAAAATAAACATTGTACAAACCAGAAAAATGTTTTTATAGCCTGATACAAAAATCTTAAAACTGATAGAAAGGATGGATTATTTTCTTTTTTATTATTATTACTTTCAAATGCATTTTAATCAATGTGAACAAGTTACATCTATCCCTCTGCAATGAAAAACAAAAACACAACTCTGTATTAGTGTTGGGCGATATTGGCAAAAAAAATTAATCACGATTAATTGTGGTTTTTAGCCAATAACAATTAATTTGACGATTAATCCCCTGGAGTCCCTGGACACCCTTATGTCCTAGTCACATGGCCAATTTAGTGGGAAAGACTTGCTCTTCGTAAAAATCGTTTTCAAATTGTGTCAAAATCACAGACTTCAGGCTATACTTCAAATTTTAAACTGTGTTGATAGATAAATTAGAGAACTTTTGTTTGTTATATTTAAAGTGGAGAGGAGCACTGAGCAGACTGACTGGGGAAATATCCAGTCAGTCTTCCTGTTGGCATTAATCGTATTAATCGTCAAGTGCCAAAAAATAAATCGATTAATGTTTTTCTGACGATTAATTGCACACGATACGATTATGCCCAACCATACTCTGTATCTGCCAAATGAAAGCTGGATTTATTCATTTTGATACAGCTTCCTTAAATGTGCGAACAAAAGTGCCCAGCCAAGTACATTTACATCTCCCTATTCGCCTGTGCCTACATCAACATTCAGAGCCCTTGTTCTATTTTCACTCGTGCACAGTGTTTGAAATGATGGCCCACACATCAAGTGCTAGTTTAACATTGACAGGAGCAAAGCACCACCTGCTGTCTGTGCAGAGGCTGGAGAAATACCAAGACCATCCACGCACTGTTTCAGTGAATGCCAGGCATTTAACTGTTTCAGTGAAAGCTGTAATTCCATTAAATGTATCAGAAATAGGATGTGCAGACACTGGAACTTGGACGTAAGAGCTTTTAAAGGGGGTGGGGGTGACAAAAAATGATGCAAGACATTTAAGTCTGGTCCAGACATGTCGACTCTTGCAACCAATGGCAACAATCAGATAAGCCATCTTTGCAAATATTACCACTCACATCTACTTTTCTAAAATTCAAGCCTTTTTTCCTTTGGCTGATGCTGCCCATCTTTTCAAATCTTAACACTTAAAGCAACGTGAAAATCATATTGATATTACTAATAGTGGGCATAGATTAAACATTTAATCAATACTAGCTTTTGCATTTAATCATTTAGCAGAGCTTTTTCTCCTAAGCGTCAATAAATACATATTTTTCGTCCTCTTTTTATAGGATTCCAGATGCAGGAAGTTCAACATCCATGCAGGCAGACAGAAAGGCGGTTACCAAAAGTAGCTCTGTGCTACTGTTAGCTAAACAGCTTGTTTTGTACCCAGAAGCTTGTACACTACTTACATCTTTCTTGGCAATTTTCGGAGTGGTGTTTTTAAATTTGGAGGTCTTAAAACGGTTCATATTGCCCTCTCGAACTGACTTTGGTGCCTTCCGGGTGTCTCTGTTGAGCTGCACTGTACTGTCTCAAGCTGACAGCTTCAGGTTTGCCGCGCGGTGTTCGTTCGCTTTGTGCAACTAAGTTGCCCGATTGGGCGGGAACTATATTTTTTTCCGATCGAAATCCGTCCCGTGCAACCCTGGATTAAAAATCAATCGTATCACTTGTCAGCCGATGCCAGAAGCAAACCGGTATTTCAATACAATTTTGTTCGTTTTAAATTTTATTTGATGACGTGCAGAGTTTATTATTTAAGGGGGGAAAGAGACTCGGAATAAACTGTAAATTTATTTTACTCATTGCGTAAAGCGACACCCATCAAAATCGATGGTGACGCACACTCGGTTCCGGGCATGCGCAGTGTGTCCCAAACCGGTGGGAATGATGGCGTTCTCCACTGCACGCTGTTCCTCACGTTGGATAACAGTCGTCGTGTCTTCTGGACCTCGAAGGGCTGCAGGTTCCGTTCTGTCGTCTGACAATGTTGGGGTCCGACAATTTTCTTCCCTTGGAGTGGGAAAGCTGTGGCGTGGAGGGAGCCTGGTGTGCGGCGGAGAAGGAAAAGCGTTGACATTGAGGGGCCTCTCAGGTGAACGCATCAGCCCAGACTAAGCTAGGCTACACTAGTTTTCAAATGACGCACAAAGACTCGCTACTATCAGAACTTGTGATTCTCAGTGTAAATACACTTTTTTTAAAAAAAAAAAAAAACTAGGGACCATGTCTAAATCGTAATTGATTATTGAACTGTAAATACGTGTTAACCCACACATGGTTTCTTATATGAAACCTTCAAAGAAGGATTTGAAGTACCTTCTTGAAGCCTAAAAATCAATTTAAAACCACTAAAAGTTCCAGAACTTAAAGTATTTTTATTTCTGAAGTGATAACACATTTTAGCACTAATGTTTTACAGAAATCTTTAGTGTTTAAGTCGCATACAAACTTCAAACTAATTAGTTTTTTTATACATGTACCTTACAACAATAAAAACAGTGAATTTCAGATTTATAAACACTTCTGCTTACCTTGTCATTCTGCTGGAAACTTTTCAGGCCTCAAATCTCCCCATGTCATCTGCACAACCTTCTTTCACACAAGTGTGCCCTCCAACAGCAAGCAGGACTTCTACCAGATTCTTGGGGTGCCACGTACTGCCAACAAGAAAGAGATCAAGAAAGCCTATTATCAGGTTAGTTCCTGCCTGACTAGGGTTGGGCAATATTGGCAAAAAAAATGAATCACGATTAATTGCGGTATTTAGCTGATATGATGATGAATCCTACCCTCGTAAAAACCTGAAAAAAACCTGAAACGTTCCTACCCTCATCTATGGTCATGAGCTTTGGGTCATGACCGAAAGAACGAGGTCCCAGATACAAGCGGCCGAAATGGGTTTCCTCCGCAGGGTGGCTGGGCTCTCCCTTAGAGATAGGGTGAGAAGCTCGGTCATCCGGGAGGGATTCAGAGT